AGTAGCCATCACATCCGAAGCGCCTTCTCCTTGCCGATGGACATGTCGAAGAAGACCTTGCTAGTCACCTGACACGGCATGACCCTCTGCACCCCCAGCCCTGCTACGCTGCACACTCCACCCTAAACCCTAAACCCTAAACCCTAAACCCTAAACCCTAAACCCTAAACCCTAAACCCTACACCGGCCCGACGTATTATGAGCTACAGACCTCCTTGGTAGCCCAGAAACCATGTCCTAATAACAGTACTCTTTTTGGGGTTGGTACCCTAAACCCTAAACCCTAAACCCAAAACCCTACACTGTAAACCCCAAAGGGAACCTGAACCAAAAAAAAAGCTGCAAAGGGGCAGCACAGGGCCACCAAGCCTCTAGGGACCCTGAACACCCCTGCCTCCTACGCCCTGGAACACAAACCTCTTTGTTCCCCTAAACCCTTAACCCCAAACCCCAAACCCTAAACCCTAAGCCCTAAGCCCTCTTTGCTCTCAGAGGCACTTAAGTTTGGGCTTCGGACTCCCAAACGAAGTCGGCTGTTTGGAGGTCAGGTTCTCAGGCGTAAGGCTTGTAAAGTGTCACGGGTTTGGGCTCAGTCTAGGGTTGCATGTGCTTCCCATGTGGGTTTAGGGTTTAGGGTTTAGGGTTTAGGTAATGTACTTGTCTTCTTTCTTGGGTACCTTCGAAATGGGGTTTACGATGCTGTGACAATGGAAGATGCGATCCGACAGCTACGACACAAGCTCACCCTAACCCTGCACCCTACACCCTACACCCTAAACCCTAAACCCTAAGCCTAAACCCTAAACCCTTATACTACCGCTACCACCACCACTTGCACCAATACCATCCGGCCAAAAGCCCCTGGTCGCCCTAATAGCCCAAAAAAAACCACTGCGCCCGCTGAAGCCCAAAACCCTAATATAAGCCCTACGCCCTAAAGCCCAAAGAGCCCTAAACCCTCCTAGGCCCTAAAACACTACGCCGCAAAAACCCTAGACCCCAAGCCCAAAACCCTAAGGAGCCCTAAACAGCTCTACATGGCCCTAAATACCCTAAACCCTAAACCCTAAACCCTAAACCCTAAACCCTAAACCCTAAACCCTAAACCCTAAACCCTAAACCCTAAACCCTAAACCCTAAACCCTAAACCCCCCCCCCCCCTCCAATCGATGCCCGGCCTTGGGCGCCTGCGCCGCGAAACATCGTCGACTGGTGGAGGCCTCTTTTAAATAGCGCAACAAGGGAAAAGACTTGGCTCCCTAATCAGACCCGAACCCTTTAGCTGTCTATACAGCCGTAGGACTTTCGGGCGTCCTCTTCCTATGCCGACTATATACACAAATCACGGCGATCTGCCAGGATGGAAGGGGTGTTCATTACAAGCTTCGACAGGCTCATGTAGCTATGGCCATAGGCTATGGCTGTGTTGTGGGACGTGGGTCGGGTGGGCTCTGAATAGTCTGAAACTTGAAGATCTAACCCGCAAACCCTGAACCCTAAACCCTAAACCGTAAACCGTAACCCTACACCTAACACCCTAAATACTAAAACCCTAAACCCCGACCCTGAGACCTATTCGAACTAAGGTCCGTGCGAAGGCCCATGAGCGCCTTGCTGGGAGCATCGCCATCGCTGATCCTGCTCCCCATGCCCCTTTTCCTCCAAACGTGCAACTGCAGGTGAAACCTAAAGCCACAAAGCCCTAAAGTCCTAAAGCCCCAAACCCTTAAACCCCCCAACTCCCACTGACCCACAAACACTGACCAGATCCAAAGAAAAAAAACTCTAAAACCTTGTACGGTTATGGGGTCGCTAGCGAGAGCAAGGGTTGGTTTTTTGGTTCTTTTTTTTTTTTTTTTGGGGGGGGGGGGGGGGGGGGGGGGGGGGGGGGGTCAGGGGGGTAAGTCGGGGCACCTGCACCCTCACAAGCGATTTAAGCATTAAAGTACTTGGGGGGGGGGGGGGGGGGGGTTGGGGGCAATTGACGGCATTTTCAGGGTACCCATCTTTATTAGGAAATACCCAATGAAAAACCACGACAGTAGTCGTACGTCGTCATTGTTGTAATAGTAGGTAATCGCTAGTAGCAATGGGAGTAGTCATCGTGCAAGAGCTAGTGTCTAGTAGTAAGAATCTATTGGTAATGGTAGTGACAGAAAAGCAGCAGTAGTCGTATTAATAGTAAATAGTGATACAACTGTCGTTAGTATAGTAGACTCTCGTTTTCGTAGTAAGAGTAGGATAGGAGCAGGAAAAGTAGAATGAGAAGTGAGTCTTGCAATGATGAGCGCATTACCAAACACCTCCACCAAGCCTTGCCAAAGCCTTGGCATCTGCTCATCTGGAGACCAAAACCATAAGAAACGGTATTCCAACCCGGTGCCGCCTGCGGAACAAATCATAAAACAACTACGATAGCGGGCCTCAATAATTTTAACAGAGTTTTTTGGTGGTTTGCAGTAATTATAATACGAAGGGACCATAGGCGAATGTTTTTAGAAATTATTCCCACCCCTGATTTTAATCGCTACATCTGCTCTCAACATTTTCCGCCAGGAAGCGCATCTTTGGCTGCGCGCGGGGTGGACTCAAAACCGCCAGCTGAAAATTGTGCAGCGGTTCAAGAGTCCAGATTCAAACATCTTCAGGGTTTAGGGTTTAGGGTTTAGGGTCTTAGGTTTAGGGTTTAGGGTTTAGGGTTAGGGGCTTAGGGTATCTAGGGTTTAAGGGGACTCAGTGGTCTCTCATCGCTAACCCAAAACCCGTGAAACCCTAAACCCTAAACCCCCAAGCCCTAAACCCTAGACCCCCAAACCCTAAGCCCTAAGTTACGTTTGCTTCCCCAAGTCTCTTCGCAAAGGCGCCTAAGCTTCGGACTCTGAACCTCCCAGCAAATAGTCCTCCTCTAAACCCTCCCCCCCCCCCCCCCCCCCCCCGCCCCTCCCCTCTCCCCCCCAAAGATGCAAGATATCGGTCGCGGTGTAGGAAGGTCCTTGGAAGCTGATAGTGCTGAAAGGCAGCTACAAGCGGACCCAACGCCCAAGAACCAAGGACCCTACATTTGTCTACCCTCCATGTTTGCTCAGCTCAGGTATATAAGCCCCAAACCCTCTAAACCTTAAATCCCCTAAACATGTCCGTGTGTATGTGTGCGTGTGTGTGTTTGAGGGGGTAACTTCTAACAAGCTGATAACTTATCTAAACCTGGACCTCTAAGCCCTGAACCCTAAACCCTAAACCCTAAACCCTAAACCCTAACTCTCCGCGGGTGCCATGAGGAGATAGTCCCCTAGTTAAAACTAGACTATGAGTCAAGGGGGCCCGAAGTTGAGGTTTAGGGTTTAGGGTTTATACATTATATAGGGTTTAGGGTTTAGGGTTTGGGGTTTAGGGGTTTAGGGTTTAGGGTTTAAGGGGCTAGATTACAAGCCCATGAGCTACAGCATCCCCCTCCCTGCGTGCCTTTCGTCATACTCGCCGCGTGAGTTTCACACTCTGTCAACTGCAACTCTGACGTCCGTGTACTGCAAAATGCACCGTGCATGTGCCCTGGTCCAGGCATGGGCTGCAGATTTCAGCCAACGCCCACTAGATTTACCAGATTCCCTATGGTAGAGGAAGAGCCCATCAAAAAGTGAACAGCTTTTGGTTATGGGTGTCGTAGACAAAGGAACCAAACGCCGAAAAGAGGGAACGAGGATGGAGACCTGGCCATGTTAACTTGATGTCCTGTGCTGGGGTGCCGCAGTCTAACTGCAACAGGAACATGCAGGGTTTAGGGTTTAGGGTTGAGGGTTTAGGGTTTAGGGTTTCGGGCTTAGGGTTTAGGGTTTAGGGTGTCAGGCGGCACATGCAACAAGGTGCAAGCTTCCGGTGGTCTGCTGCTCTTCTTGGGGCATGTGAGACAGAGGTTGAAAGCAAGGGGTACCAGGTGGCCGGCTCAGCTCAGAAGATGTGAACCAAATCCTGCGAAGAGTGTCCACCCCAAACCTTCCCGCATCTACCTCGAAACTGCTGAAACCCGAAGAATTTGAAGACCGAAATCCTGGGCTCTTTAAGGACTCTTTGGAGCACGTCAGAAGGCTCGCAAGGCATCATGCTGCAAAAGGTTCAGGGGTAATTGTGCGCGCGCAAGTTTTGAGCTTTTCGGACTTGAAGGGGTTTAGGTTTAGGGTTTGGGGTTTGGGGTTTAGGGTTTCGGGTTTAGGGTTTCAAGCCATGGAAGGGCCGTGTGCAATCGAGGCACATAGGACAAGGTCCAGAAGAGGATAAAGGACAGCAGCCCTCCGCCGAACCTGAGCATCGTTTCGCTCGTTCTCTTAGAAGCGGCGAGAGCCGCAACATGCAATCCCCTAAACCCTAAACCCTAAACCCTAAACCCTAAACCCGAAACCCGAAAACCTTAACCCTAAACCTGCTGCTCGTGGTTGGACGGGCACGTCCTGAAATCGCCTGAAGCTGTTCCTTCCTAGTCAGCATGTGCTTTTGGGCACACCGATGTGCTTTGATAAGCTGGAAAGTGCTCACGCACATGACGGCTGTGAGAAGCATTTGCCTCTGACAACGGGTGTCGTGCGCTGACACTTGGGCACACTGTACATAAGCCTAGGGATCCACATGTACCTATATAGTATCTACTTGGGCCTTATAGGGTTTAGGGTTTAGGGATTAGGGTTTAGGGTTCCTATGGCTCCAGTATATACTAGACGGGTACATGGATCCTTAGGGTACTCCAGAGGCCTGCCACGGCGGGCTGCAGCATTTAATGCTGAAGCACGGCCGGCAAAGCCTTAGCAACCATAGCTACCAGAGAGCCTCAACATGGGGTCACTAAGTCACTCCCCCCGAATCTTAAGCCCTCCCCTATCCCCTCATATTCGATACCCCCCAGTATGGCTATGTTATAGAAGATATGGGGGGGGTATTTAATCTTAGGGGAGGGGGGGGGGGTAGTATTAGGGGGAAGGGAGTAAACAGCTACCAGGCACCCAGCAGATTTTTTACAAAGGAGACTGCTCAGTCTTTGGCCGGGTGGTGGTGGCTGTTAACAGGGATGGAAACCGGCGGTCCCTTGCCACTGGCAAGGAAGAGGAGGCACCAGGTGGCTCAGATATGGACATGCTCGCGGCATCTTCCCCGCTTCCGACGGACTCTGCTGGTCCGCTTGCACCTTTGATTTGGGTCCGGGGCTTCAACCCTAAACCCTAAACCCTAAGCCCTAAACCCCAAAAGCCTAAACCCAGGCTTTAGGGCACAAAGAAGGCGCATCCAACAAAAAGACTTCTCACCGGTGATGGAGCGTGGTTCACACCCGAAACCCTATCTTGCAATCCCTCTGAGACCTAAACCCTAAACCCTAAAACCTTCTTGAATTCAACAAGAAACAAGAGACATCATCATAAATACTAGACCCAAGAGTAACCAAGGAAAAAAGAGGGGCCTCTTTTTGGTTTAAAGAGCTGAAAAAGGGAACCTATAAACCCTAAAAACGGGGAACAAGGGCCTATTTCTCTCCAAAGCCTTACTTGGAGGTTCAAGTACCCTAAAGTATACTTAAAATACTCATGACTCATAACCCTACTTACAACTACCCATGAACCTCCAAGTATAAGCCGCCCAAGCCCAAGGCAAGAAGGTCCAGACTGGTGCTGAAAAACCCTAAACCCTAAACCCTAAACACTAAACCCTAAACCCTAAACCCTAAAACCTAAAGGCCCTAAACCCTAAGCCCAAGGCGCGAAGGTCCAGACTGGTGCTGAAGCCTCGGTGCGTTGGCGCGTGGGGACTCTCTGCAGGCTCCTCGCCGCTGATCAGCGACATGCTGGTGGCAGGTGCGCGTGAGCCTTGGGATGATCCGGAAACCCAAGGGTCCTAAGGGTTTAGGGTTTAGGGTTTGGGGTTTAGGGTCCATGTACCTACATAGTACATACTTGGGCCTTACAAAGGGGCTCCCTATATCGTAGCTTTGAGGCCAAGGTACCGGTAGTTGGGGGCTCAGGGTTTAGGGTAGAGGTATGGTATTGGCCATGACTTGTGTATCCCACCCGAGATGTAAGGAGGACAGCATGCGAATTTCTTCTGCAGAACATGAAGCATACCCTGAACCTGAAGGTATAAGCTCAGCTGCTGGCAATTCTTCGGTTCCGGTTGGGGGAGAGGATCTTAGTTGCTGAGTTCATAAACCCCCAAAAAAGTGTAAAATCTCAGCTCTATATGGGATTATGGTATCCCAAAAAGTGTAAAGTGTGCTCACTCAGCTACTAAGGGATGTCCGAACATAGGGGGTATCCTTTTTGGGGGGCTTCTTTGAGGGGACTTTAATTCTATTTGGGGTATAAGAGGGATACCCCTATTTTGGGAAATAGCCCAGTTCAGCGTTCCTGTTAGGAAGTTTGTACTTGCGCACAAAACACGAAACACTAGACCTTGTGCACGGTGTCTTTGGGCTCAACCCCAGCCCCTAGCCCCTAGCCCCTAAACCCTAAACCCTAAACCCTAAACCCGAAACCCTAACCCCTAAACCCCTAAACCCCTAAACCCTAAACCCTCATCACGCAGCCAAGAGGCATGGCACGGTCAAAGATGTGCGTCGGTGCCGGCCCCTCGCCGAATGTGGGGCAGCCTGCTCGAGTAGGGTTTAGGGTTTAGGGTTTAGGGTTTAGGGTTTAGGTTTTAGGGTTTGGGGTTTGGGGTTTGGGGTTTGGGGTTTGGGGTTTGGGGTTTGGGGTTTGGGGTTTGGGGTTTGGGGTTTGGGGTTTGGGGTTTGGGGTTTGGGGTTTGGGGTTTGGGGTTTGGGGTTTGGGGTTTGGGGTTTGGGGTTTGGGGCTCACGGCTTAGGGTTTAGGGTTTGAAATTGGATGGGTTTAGGGTTTGGGGTCCAGGGTGTAGGGTTTAGGGTTTGGATGGGTTTCGGGCATAGGGTGACATTTAGGCTCAGGCAGGGCTTCAAAACTTCAGGGTTTTCTGGATGAGGGTTCGGGTTTGGGCGTTTGAGGTTTTGCATTCAGGCTGCAGGGTCTTTCTTGGCGGCCAAGGGGACTACAGGGGACAGGCTGGTAGTGGTGGGCGGATTGGAGTTTGGAGCAATCCCTCTAGCTTTGACTGAGCATAGGCTTCCGCAAAACTAGGGTCTATAGGCGTCAGGGGTCGAGGGGTTTTGGGGGCATACCCAGAACCCTGGAACCCTAAACTCTGAACCCTAAGCCCCAAAATAGTACCCTATGCTACTGTTAGGTCATGCTTGGGAACCCTTGAGGGGCATTCTACTTTTTGGATCCTCCCAGGGGTCTGGGTAAGCCCCTAAACCCTAAACCCTAAACCCTAAACCCTAAACCCTGAACCCTAAACCCTGAACCCGAAACCTGAAACCCTAAACAGGGGTCTGGGTAGGGTTCTTTCGCAGCCCCGGCCGGGGCCGGTCGCACAGGCATTTGAAGGCTCGCCGGCCTTAGCGCACAGCTTAGAGTCGCATAGCCAAAACGTAAAACGGTTTAGGGTTTAGGGTTTAGGGTTGAGGGTTGAGGGTTGAGGGTTGAGGGTTGAGGGTTGAGGGTGTAGGGTTTAGGGTTTCGGGTTTAGGGTTTATTCAAGGCGGGCTCAAGCAGTGTGGCCTAGCAGTCAAGACTAACAGTAGTGACTCTACAAGGAATGTTCCATGATGTCCCATGATATACCCTAAGCCCTACACCCCAAATACAACAGGGATATCAGAGTTCAGGAGTATTTGGTCTTCACAAACAAGACCACTGCAAACGGGCTCCCCCGCAGCTGATAAAGACTATGGAATCTGTATTCTTGACAAATTAACGAATCAGGCCTGAGCTCCTCACCCTCAACCTACTGAAGATGCCAAGCCAGTTTCCTTTCCGGGGTCTTCACTGCCACTCTCGAGCTGCATCTATTCCAGAAGTGAGCTGCTCCCCAAACCCTCTGAGGGTCTGGGGTTAGGGTTATAGAGTTATAGAGT